TGATTCATTTTAAGAGAGGCTTAAGGATCAAAAGTTCAAGTGGCGGGCCGGTACTGTCCGGTTATAGCACCTTCTTCTATTCAATTCTGTTCTTAATCCAGCACAAACAAAAGCTTTTCACAAAAAGTTCAATATGTAATATTTTAATCGGATCTTATACATTTCTATTATTGATACAGAACTTTAAGTGACAACCATATTAGAAGGGTTCAATGCTACTAAAATCCATGGGGATTTTACCGGTCTGTTTAGCTGTAAATGTTGCCCATACATAATTAAAGGTTAGATGGAAAGATACAAGCATTGCTTTAAAGGTCTCATTCATCACATTTGTATTGTCTGACATAGTTAACGTGACACCCATGTACATTTTTTACACAGGTTCGTGTAAAATCTAGATAATCCATGGCTTTATTGAATTGTCTAACGAACAATTAAGTTCATGGTTTTTGTTGTACCGTAACGCAATTTGGATAATTATACTGGAACACTCTATTTATACTGGTGTGAATGAACACTGGCTGTGTTATTTACCAAAATTGTTTAAATTAAGTCAAAATGGATTAATGATCAAGATCATTTTTTTTATTTCTTGGTGGATATTGGGTACATGTTATAATTATGTAAGTGCAATGATATGTTATTTTCTTTATCATCCAGAGCATCATCGTTATCATCATCGTCATAGTCGTATTTAGATGATGATAATAATAATAATAATAATAATAATAATAATAATAATAATAATAATAATAATGATGATCATAATTGTGGTCGTCGTATTCATCATCGTCGGTGCCGTTTTCATTTAAATCCTAATTTGTAGATATGTATTAATTGTTTTATTCGATAGGGACTAAAACAAATGTCTTAAATTGACAAAAAAATCTTTTAAAATATTGCTGACGGCATTTTAATTTCATCATAAATCAGAAAATTAACGTACTTTGGCAGAAAACAGGACCATTACTGTTTTGCTAAAAAAATCTAAAAAAAATTCAAGCACATTTTGAAAACACTACACTTAAAAACACTAATTACTTCACATGTAAAGATCTTTTTGGACCGAGAAAATTGATATGTTTGCTGATTGTTAAGCCATTTCTCATGAAAATGACACAACCCTCTTATATATAGTTGATTAGCGACTATTCTAGTTGATGGTTTTGTTTGTGATATTTCTGCAATGATTTTGGACAGTGTTAACCCATACATCTTCGCCTGTTCGTTTGTCGTCACTTTCTAAAATGCTGTTTGTAAAACAGCTAATGAATTTTATGGTAGATATGCTATTTTTGCAGACGACAAATCTAATCCAAGACACGAAAAGACCATGCTTGGTTTTATAGTGTCAGATATCTACTTTTTGCAGGTTTTCTAATCCCCTAATGGGTACTCTATATTTGATCATCTGATATGAACAAATTAAATATTAATATTCAAATCCTTTTAAATTATTTTTAAAGTGGATTTGAACAGTTTGTACTTTTGTTTATGTCCCCTGCCTGGCAGAAAGAATTTTGATTCATTGTGGAGGCAACTTTATACGATGGTTTTGTGTATTTTATGCAATATTATTGGTTACACCTCGAGTTAGTTCATAAACATCAGAAACTTATAGTACCGTTTTGTTTTGCCAGTAGTTGTCAAATTTGGATTTCCAACATGACGGTTACCACACAGTGATTTTTTTGTAATTTTTGGATTTTTATGACAAACGAAAAGGTATTTTATTGCTGTCTGTTTAAAAGTCTTGTTTTAAAATCATGTTTAAGATTTTAAGATTTTCAGAATTTTCAGAATTACGTCAAAGTTTTAAACGTTTAATCCATGAGATTTAGATTACTTGATACAAAATTTATCTAAGTTTGATTGTGTAGGAAAACTGGCTCTCTGAAATATTTACGACAATTAGAAAAATGCATACATCATAATAAATTAAAAAAGATACATTTACATTATATAAATTTGTCAAAACGCAAAATTAACATAAAGTATTTTACAGGCATTGTATGATCAAATAATTGTTAATGGAAAAGATTAACGATTCATGAATGTATTATCCAAGTTCAACAACATTTTGTACAAGTAAAGGTCCACATATTTTTCGAAACATACAAAATATGTTTTTTTTAACAAACGTTTTATACTGTGAATGTAAAAGATAATTATCATTTTGCATTTTGCATTAACATAGAGATGAATACAAATTTATTTATTCAAACTTGAAAAGATGAATACACGCGACTTACGTAAACCGTTTTATGTTGAAAGAAAATTTCAATATGTTGACTATTCAGTTTGATTAATTATGTCATGAAACAGGGGATTAGATATCGCTTCCAGTTTGTCAGTTCAACCAAACCCTGGAGGCCTTTATACTTGTAAATATGGCATATTGTATTGCAGATCTATCACGACCTCTGTTAATGAACGCTGGCAATAATTCCCGTGTGGTATTGTAGACCAAATTCTTCTCTGTTTTCATGGTCCGAAATTTTTACATATTTATCTTTGATTGTCTGTTTAAATAGAATATTCAGGTGGACTTTTATTGAGATTTATATCAGTAATCTCTCTGTGTCTCTTCATTAACTTTGTATTTGACTTCGGGTAGCTTTTGATCCAAGGGGTTCAACTTTGATAGATCAATATCAACTCCTGGATTATCACATGCTATTTATTAAAGCAATTTAGTGAGAGTAGGGAATCACGTTGTAAACTGAAGTATTGACTTTACAAAGATTGTGTAGATATCATTTGTGGACTTTTTGGATTTCGTCGGGTGTTAGATGGTATTTGCGTAGGGTTTGATAAATATTACTCAAGGGGTTTCAATTAATTTGAAAATCAGCATGGGTGTTTTTTGCGTATTTATAAATTAAAGTCTAGACGCGAAGTGCTTCGTTTAAGAGATTTTTTTATTAATAGAGTGGGCGGAAGAAAAATGCACAAGGTCAAATGTTGCTGAAATTCTTAAAGTCTGTTCTCTGGTTAAAACTGGATAACTGAGAAAGTGAAAAGAACCTAATTTCATTATTATGAATAGATTTACTAATTTCATAACAGGAAAATCGGTGCGAAATGTTGCAATTATATTTGTTAACAAAGTCTTTAAAAACTTTTAATTTATAGACTGTCTCCAATTTCATTTGTGTTTATTGAAGGCTTTCAAATAATTACGTCTAAGAAAGAGTAAAAAGAAGAGTAGAAAATATTATCCATTCATAGAATCACAAGTATTTAAGAGATATATTTTTTCCCTGTTTTATCTGGTAGAAACATCTATTTTAGTACAATAAGAAAATGGTTTTGCATTTGTTCCAAGTTTTGTCCTATGTTAGGTAAGTATTTCTGAAGATAAGATCTGCCAACAATTGAGATATTCTTTCCCTTTATTACCATACCAGTGTGGTAGTTACTTAACACATTTTTATAATTACTATAATTTGACTTTAAAATTTACAATGTCATGATAAATTACGCTTTTAGATTTCACTAAACCTGGGAGGGAAAGATTTACGAATTTAATCGTCATAATCAGCATTTTACGACTAAAATGTTGAAAAAAAGTAAAAAATTTAAAGGTAATAATGAATTTAGGGAAAATGAGCGGAAAGTACTTAAATTTTGTATTACTCACAGCAGCTTTGAAATTATACTTAGCAACAGCTAAAAGTTTTATTTCCTGAACATTTGTTTTTCTTTTTTTTTTAATTTCATTTGTAAATCGTTCTATTAGATATAACATGTCACGTGCGTGTATTTTAATTGAGATATAATCTTTTTTTACATAAAAATCATTGTTCACACTGTGATAGAGCATGGTGTTGGAGTTTTCACAGCAGATTTTAATCTTTATTTTGGTCAGTAAACTGGTATGTAGTTCCGCCAACCTTTTACTTATAATTTTTATAAACATTATCTGATGATAACTTAATAAACTATTTCTTTTTTTTAACTGGTCTAACGCCGTTTTTAACACATTTTTAGTTATATTTAGGCGGTCGATTTACCTAAGTGCGATTTTCCTAGATAACAACCAAGTAATAACCATTTTCTCCGCAAGTGATAAGAATCAAACGACAAAAGTCTAAGATCATTTGTCACAGACGAACTGAGCCTCGAACCAGGATCTATATCGATATCTTTGTTACTTATCCGATCTCCTTCCTATCTAAGCGGGCGGAATTATAAACTAACTTATGTATTGCAAGACTGTATCAAAGAAATTATTAAATTTCTCATTCCTTTAAGTGTATACAATTTCATATTTGATGATTTAAGAGTACTATGAAAAAATGAAAATAAAATTAGGTAAGAACGAAAACGATGATTTGTTTATCTCTGGCCGAAAAGTACCATCACTTATTATTATGACCATAACCAACGATAATAACGATATCTAAAAAAAGAGATTTTTGTGATTTGATTGAACCATTACCACCCTTAATATCTTAAATGGACGAGACCATCTTTCAATCTAGACTCAACCTTCATTTTTAGAAGTTATCTCAAATATATGACCAATGTACTGACTTAATGGCGACCAGTGCAGACCATGATTAGCCGGCACAAATGTGCCAACTGAACTCGGTCTGCACTGGTCGAATACTAGTATGTATATATAGGATTGGTTACTGCCATCAGGTAAAGTGTTATTCTAATTGACTTTGAGAAGAAATATATCGGCTTTTTGCTCTTCGTCTTTTCAAAAATAAACAAAGAGTCCAAACATGTTTTATTTTCCATTTCCGCTTAAATTATTTTTTTTTTTAAATGCACTGAAATTCTTATGTCATACATTGAACAGACGACAAAATCAGGTGTAACGAAAAAATATGCTTTTTTGGCAGCGAAGTTTAACTTTGATAGCAAAAATCGATGTATTTAATGCAATCTTATCGGGTGATAAACGAAATGAAGGGAAATGTCAAATCCCGAATTTAGACTTTTGAATAAATATTGATAGTCGATTAATTCAATACGACTCTGATAAAGAATTTCCTTACCTCCAAGTTATGTAATTTAAATTGAGAACCATTTGAGGTTTTTCAGTTTAACGGAATAATATTGCTTTGACGGGTTATTAAAAATTTTGGATTTACATAATTTTTTGATGAGACATCTAGAATGGTCAGTTGATTTTAATCTGTTGAATTAACAAATGGTCATTTAAATTGACATTATGTTCACTTATTATTGTCAGGTCGAGCCTAATTGACTTTATTTTTAAAATACATGACTGATAAAATAATGATTAATCAAACGTTTATATTGGAAATAGTTATATAAGGATAAAATAAAAATATGCCTAAAATATAAAAAAGGCTGTCCCATTCTTGATTATAAATTGAACAATACAGGTAAATTACAATGGATATTAATAAAAAATTCTTTGAGCCACGTGAGTTATTTATCGTTAAAACGAGGTAAATAATAAAATTGAAAGGAATGGGGGCAACATGTAAACATATTACTGCCATCTCTTCAATCACTATTTGAGCCGTGTCATGACAAAACCAACATAGTGCGTTTGCGACCAGCATGGATCCAGACCAGCCTACGCATCCGCTCAGTCTGATCAGGATCCATGCTGTTCGCTATCAGTTTCTCTACTTGTAATAGGGTTGGTAAGCGAACAGCATGGATCCTAATAAGACTGCACGGATGCGCAGGCTGGTCTGGATCTATGCTGGTCGCTAACGCACTATGTTAGTTTTGTCGTGACGCGGCTCATTTACCCGTTGATGGGTAAAATGTCATTTTAAATTAATTTTTAAATTGTGTCATGAATTTGTAAAGATTTTTTTTTTTTCATCTTTTTTTTTAGTTTTGCTATAAATAAATGTAATGGTGCTTACAAACAAGACTGTTTGGCCGTGAAGTCTGACCAGGCGCTATACTGTTGGCATCTTTGGTGTTTATATCTCCTTTAAACTTGAAAATGACACTTCTAAATTAAAAGCAGAGCAAAGCCAATGTATAAATATAGCAGATGATTTATTATACTAGTATTTGGTATCAAACATTCTACGTCTGTCTAACTTCTTCTAAAAGAGTGAATTAAAACAGCTAATACATATAACAAATAAATAAACAAATACAAAATTAATGAATAGCAACGCCGTATCTTCTGTTATGACGTCATCACCTGTCTAGCCTAGTTATCAATTAACTTTTTTTTTTCATTGAATATAATATCTATAACATGGTATTTTATGCGATTTTTAACATAAGTGTCCAATAAATATACTCATACTGATAATAAATTTCGATTTTAACAGATCATGGTGTATGCCTTTTCATTCATATCTACTAAACCCATACTTGACTGGTATTAATTTGGTCGACAGCATTCTGTTTAATAAATTTGTCTTTTTTATTTAATAATAAAAAAACAAACATAGGTGTAAACATTAGAGCAATTTTGTTCACGAAATTAGGTTGTTTATGAGGGAAAGCGTATCTTTTGAACATTATCGTGAAGATTTATGGGTTGTATACTATACTTGGGTTTATTTTTCTGACATAACACACAGTCGATCTTTAGAAAAGGCTAATCTTTGAAGTGTCCCAGTCAGGAACATAAAAAATCCACATCATTATTAACATCATATTTGGAATTACGTATTTACATATTCAAACCATGTTATTTCCGGTGTATTATGTTACGAACTTTTTAAAAGAAAAGCTCAGATTTGTATCGAACGTTGCTGGACTTCTACAGAGATATAAATGAGCCGCGTCACAACAAAACCAACGTTATGCGTTTGCGACCAGCATGGATCCAGACCAACCTGTTCATCCGCGCAGTCTGATCAGGATCCATGTTGTTCGCTTTCAGTTTCTCTACTTTTAATAGGGTTGGTAAGCGAACAGCATGGATCCTGATCAGACTGCGCGGATGTGCGACTGGTCTGGATCCATGCTGGTCGCAAACTTACTTTGTTGGTTTTGTCGTGATACGGCTCAAATGAGGAAATTGCAGGAATGTATTGCTTAAATGACAAAGTCCTTGACCTTTCAATAGATGCAGACGACAAAATAAATACACAACCGGAATCGATTGGTCATGGTGGTCATGAGACAATGACAATAAAATAAAGGGGAAGGAGAATAAATAATTGCAATAGACCTAGGCAATACTGTAAAACATGGATGAGAAGTACATGCACTTTAAATAATCTACCCCAGTAAGTTAGCCATGACACTGAATCAAATATTAATATTTAATGTTTGATGTATATGTTTTGGAAAAGGTCATTGCGTGTACATTTTGCAGGGAGAGTTATATAATAATAATAATAATAATAAATAAAATAATGATGATAATTATAATAATAACAAAAAATATAATAATAATTATAATAATAATTATAATAATAATAATAATAATAATAATTATAATAATAATAGTAATAATAAAACTCATAATACCTATAATAATAATAATAATAATAATAATAATAAATAGTTAATAATAATAATAATAATAAAAATAATAATAATAATAGTAATAATAATAATAATAATAATAATAATAATAATAATAATTATAATAATAATAGTAATAATAAAACTCATAATACCTATAATAATAAAAACGATAATAATTATAATAGTAATGATAATAATAATAATAATAAAAATAATAATAATAATAATAATATAATAATAATAATAATAATTATAATAATAATAGTTATAATAATTATAATAATAATAGTAATAATAATAATGATAATAATAATAATAATAATAATAATAATAATAATAATTGTAATAATAATAATGATTAATAATAATAATAATAATAATAATAATAATAATATTAATAATAATAATAAATCAATGAAAAAAACCAGCGAATGTTTACCAGCTTGTATGTGTGCACATAGCAAAGTTTTTTCGTACAAATTACACTTTATTTAAAGTTATTATACATGTATTTCAAAAAAATATTTTAATATAATCATTAAAAGGTTTTGGACCAAAACATACTAAATATATTGATATTTTTTCAAATAACAAGTTTTTACATAAACCGGTATTATTTCTGTTAAATACAGATTCGCTTTGATTGAATTATATTATTATGAAATAATCAGTTTGAATACTTACAGATAAATTTTTGTATAATTGTGCTAGGATTTTGTTCAGTATTATATAACATATATGTTTTTATACGATATAATTTCTAATTGATACTTTAGTGAACAAGATAAAGTACACTAATTTAACTTCTGAAACGTCATGACCTTGTGCTATTAAATAGTAAGATGGTCCAGAAAAATTACGGGAAAAATAATTTCTACTCACAAAAACAGCTTTAATTATGTACAAAACAAAATTTCCCATGGGGTCACAATATGGTTAAAATGTCTTGTGCTGGAATTTTTCAATTACACGGTTGCTTACAGATGAATTATGCATGTATCTTTTTTTTCAAGAAGTTAAAAAAATGTTAGAATAAAACACACCTTACAAACTACTGACGTAGTAGTCGTTGATCTAGTTAAAGTCTATTTTTCAATTAAAAATCAATTACGAGTTTTGAAAATATCACGTCATCAATAAGCATTGTCCACGTATCCCATTAAATATTTTTGCAAATCCAAAGTGAAGAGTACTTGATACTTTTTGTGTTGACACAATACTTTAGAAGCTAGGTAGCACTTTATATTGTTTTCAAAGTTATATCAAAATGTGATCGCAGAATACATTAGATTTCTTGTGACACAGAAAGCTTCAATTTATGAAAATAAAGGAAGTTATACAAATACCGTCTTTGTGATAGAAAAACAAAGTCATTTTAGCTGCTTATTTAGCAAATAGCGGCTTATTTTGCAAATAAGTCTTTCAAGCAATTTCTTTTTATATACTTTGGTATATATCATGTTAATTTGAGCCGCGTCACGACAAAACCAATATAGTGCGTTTGCGACCAGCATGGATCCAGACCAGCCTGCACATCCGCGCAGTCTGATCAGGATCCATGCTGTTCGCTTACTAACCCTATAACAAGTAGAGGAACTGATAGCGAACAGCATGGATCCTGATCAGACTGCGCGGATACGCAGGCTGGTCTGGATCTATGCTGGTCGCAAATGCACTATGTTGGTTTTGTCGTGACGCGTCTCATTTTATAACATGCATCACAATTAAGATTTTCAGAACTATATGTTGTGAAATGCTTTTATGAATTTTATCAACAGTAAAATTAAATCACTAATTTGCTGATGATATAATTGTCATGATAATAAATAATGATAATGAAATAATAAAACAATATGATAAAATAATGAGACTTCATTAAGTCTGCTTGTTTTTATGACCCGTTTACTTGTGAAATGACCGAATTCACATGAAACACTACATAAACTTCAACTCAGCATGTTATGTCAACAAACTCCTGGTTTGGGTCCTTGTAAATTTGCCATTTAAAGAGAGATTTCTTTTATGTCTGATTTAACTTTTTGTGTCACATTTAATTTCCATACCGTTGGTCCAAAATCTTTATGTAGAGAAGTTCTCGACAGATACAGAAAATTCTGGTTGTAATATTAGTCCTTGTACGATATCCAGGAATACTTGATAGTTAACCACACACAGATTTATGACTTATGCTATAAGTGTTTCCGTTAAACCGGTGCTAGAGGGCACAAGACATGTTGCAGTTTCAACAATTTGTTCTTATTTTCACTGTTCTCAAGGCATTTCCTATTTCATACTGTAACTACGTGCATGTATTAGCTATTTGAATAACAATAATGATATACATATAGTACAAGTTTTTAAGTTAATTTATTTTCTTTTTTATCCAATTCCTTTTCAGCTTTTGCAGTTAAGTTTTAATTAAGGCGGTCATCATATTCAAACATGGGTGTTTTACGCTTACCTCCTCTTCAAAAGATTAAGTATTTGATTTTTTGCATTCATTTAAATTTTATGGTCTTGTTCAGTACACTAAAAGTGCTTGTAACTGCAACGAAAGCGTTTCGAATTACAATAAAAGAATCTTGAATAGGAATGAAAGTTGCAGACGGGGTTTTCATCAAAAAATGTTTTGTCATTAAAAAATGAACGCTGAGCACTATTGTAGAATTCACGTGGGGATTTAGTTTCCTGTCAACGTTAAAACGTTTGCACTAGCCAGCGGAAGTGGGCGTTACCATATTAAAATTCGTCTGCCATGAATTTCAATGTGCCTCAGTTTTTGTAAGTTCTGAATTGAAAACAAAGGTTATCTCTGTATTGTAAATATCTAATATATCTCCTTTTTGGTAAAATATATGACATCTTTAAATGTCCATAAAGAAGCATTGTCATTGAAATTAATGAGTTGTCATTTTAAAATGGTTTGTATTTTGAAATATGTTTTTGAAACCATTATTTTGTATGATTTATCATAGTCAGTAGCAAAAGAATTATACCTTTCTTTTCAGCCATTTTCAAAAAATATTTTACAATAATTGTATTGTTATTAACAGATATGTATTGTCAGACATTGATGTACGTTTTCAAAAATATAATTCACATTGCGACAGACGACAAATCATGTCGCCTGCTATGGTAATCTTTACATGAACATTAGTGACTTGCTACGTTTAAAATCCCTGCTGGGGTATTTAACATCGCCTGTTTTGATAGCGTCTCGCTTAATAAGAAGTAAACAACATAAAATTATATTAAATCATCTAATTTTGCATACCAATGTTGTGTTATAATCATAAATAAGTATGCTGAAGATATCGTTTGGAGTCCATTTTTTCCCCATAAAATATTGCAATTTTGCGGTATGATCTTGTTAATATCAGTAACATGGTATATAAGGCAGACAGAAAAATTGCCAGACAATTTTTTTAAAGGAGGCAAACATAGTGTATAAGTCAGATAATACTCAGTCTTTTGGCACAAAATTGCAGACCTTACTCAGCTCCTGTGGCATAATAACTGTTTTAATATATGAATTAGTTTTGGTTAAGTAAATGAATAAACTTACGAACGACGATTCAGAAACGAATGTTGTCATTCAATTTATGTAAAACGCATTTTTATATTTCTTTTTGAAATAACGTTAGGCTATTTTATAGCAAATGGTGCTCAAAACTTATTTGAATACCCGACCGAGTTCAAAAAGGTACGTATATATTGACCGTTTCCTTTCGGTCCGGTTTCGCATTGTTTCCTCCCCGCATGTTTTCAGTTTCCATTTCGATTGACACAGCGTTGTGTATCTTACAGTTAACGTTTTCAATGTCGTCTGCTGATAAACATTTCTCGTCTGCAAAATTCTCGTCTGCTAATCTCTTTGAAAAGATCATCGATTTTCAGATAAGAGAAAAATGGTTTATACTATGGGGTATCGAGTTAGTATGTGTTATAAATAAATGCAAGGGTTAATTCGGATTTTTGTTTTGTCATCGTTTTTTTATGAATGTAATGTAAATTGAAACTGTTTGGATGTATTAGGATTCAATGGAGCATTAGTATGGAGTAAAATGAATACATGAATCAATTTTAAAACATCGAGATAAAGGTATATACGTTTCAACACTAGGCTCAATCGATGCCTTTTTATAGATAAAATTATGAATTTTCATTTAATAGATAATGGTTTTAACAAGGTCAAGCGCATCATATTTGTAATCATAACCCATATTTCATATTTGAAAGGCATTCACTGATAAAAATAATATCTTTTTTGAAATATGGATTTTTTCCCCATTAACATGAATTATTTTTCAAATAAAATTACTGTTGTCAACCATCATAGATAAGTGATATTTTTATGATAAACGGGATTTAGATGATTAATTAGATTAAATTTATAGATCAAATTATTTTTGTTGCTTGGAGTAGTCTCGTCTCATCATAAAGGAAATTACATAAGCTTCTAGTGCATTTCAATGAATTGTACGTACTGAATAATACAATTTTATTAAATGACTGTATGACCGATAAAGTCTCTTTGTAAAAATTACTTAAAAGAAACAAAAGAACTCGCCTGCTATTAAGCGACTATGACGAATAATTTCATTGGTTCAAAGTATTTTTAAATGGTAAATATATAGATGTAACCATTATTCCTAACTAGCCCATTTCACTTTCTTTAACTTTTTTATTTAACGTAAAGTGTTAACACTTTTTTCATTTTAGCATAATTTTAATGTTTAAAATTATGTGCGTAAATTTAATAGGATTTTTCTTTATCATTTAAAGTACTTTTATAATCTAAAAATTGATCTACATTTAATTCTTAAAGGTTTTAATTAATGTAAGTTAAGGCTTTACTTTAATCCGAAACACTCTTGTGTCAACTTTAGAAGGTTACTAACGGATAATCCCTCTTCAAAGACTCATATTGTCGTGTTCTTTTTGTGTCATAAGTTCACTAGGTCTTATTTTGACGATTCTACCTTACACCGAAAATATATACTATGTAAATGTATAAAAATTAAGTAATGATAACATTTTTATATCTATATCAATTGATTCAAAGTACATGTAGTAAGAACTTAATGTGAATTGAAAAATTTCTATCTGCCATTTGGTAAAATTACATTTACTTCTATGTTATCACTTGGTGCCAACTGTCTGTTATTGTTTAAAAACGAATATTCAATTTTATATTTTAATCTAGGAAACTTATTATATAATTACACGTTTATAAAGTCCATTTGATTAGACAAACGTGATTGCAAGTGGAAATAATTATTATATACAGTGCTGATTTTTGTTTTAGGCTAATCATGGACATATAAGGTGAGACTGTAGATATGGATTGACACTTACAATGGGTTCGGGTGTAAGTACTGTTTGCGGCAGCAAACGCTCAGTTCTTATCGCCAACAGTGTACGGAAACTTCCGACAATACACGAAGATGATAGCGATTCCGATATTGAAGTGGAAACGGAACTTGAAATTAAACCAACATCCGGTAAGTTGCATCAAGCAGAATCTCGTGACTCCGGAATCGGCGAAAATGATATACCAAACGGGGTACTGTTCCAGCGACAAAATGTTTCTTCTATTTCAAGAAATTCGTCTGATTCGAGTCCTGAAAAGACAAGAGAAAAAGAAAACAATAAACAAAATGAGGAAGCGTCACGTGTTTCGCGGCCTCACTCGTGTCGCCTTGGTAACAGAGGTCATAGAGGTCAATTTAGAAATGCGGAAAATTTAAGAAAAGCGGAATTATCTGATTCTCAGATCCGGCGGATGGTAAGGTCTGCTAAAGGAGATTCTCTAGTTTCAAATAAAGATAATACTAGGGGTGATATCTCAGACGACACTTTGTCTTTAAATAGTGTAAGCTCGATATCACCCGACAGACGGACAAACACAAGACCAAAAAGTGCTAGAAGACGTTTGAATAAGCGTAACAGGAATAATAAGAATGAAGGAAATACTTCTACAAGAGTAATCAGTGACCTTGACAGTTCAACAGACACGGAAGTTAGTGATACAGACATGTTATCGATTCCTGACGAGACTGGCGCGTTCAACCGGAGCAAGGATAACACACCGCGGAGAAAAGGATGGGTACGGAACGAAGACTTTACCGATGTAATGATTTCGTCGTCGGTGACACCTAGAATAGGTGGACCGTCGGGAATGTATAGAATTGTAAGTGGCACGTATTCGGATATGGACGTGAACCTGGCGAAGAAAGCTAGCGAGCGATCTATATCCAGTATTATACTAACGCCCATGGATGGCATGAACACGCCCACTAATTCGGAATGTTTTGATGCACCTCATGATTTGTGTTATCACTGTGAAGGGGTGAGTGTAATATCTGTGTGATTTAACCTTCAAAGCGAAATGCTAGCTTTATTCTTACAAATTTAGTATAATTACATTTATAGTTACAACCCCCCCCCCCCAAAAAAAAAAAAAATAAATAAATAAAAAAAATGAAAGAAAATTGAACAAATTTACGACAACATCTATAAATTAACTTCATTTGTCGTTCAATTGTTGTTTTAGCTTATATTCATAGCTAGCATCTCGCTTCTGCAACGTCAGGTTTCTATGTCAACAAAATCAGTTAAAAACATAAATGCAATTACATGTATATTAATTTACATATAACATAACAGATATGGCAGCTAGGTACACAAATGCAATCTTTAAATGATTTAAACCAAACAGAGCCCATGTATATAAGAGTAGAGCTTTTTACAAGCTAACATTGAATGAGGCTACTATGATAAAATGTTTTCATATATAATGCAATTAACTGATGGAACTTAAATACATGTGCACACACAATAATTTGGACCTAAAATTTCGCATTCACCATTTATCTTACATGAACATAACACAGAATTGCTTATTTAAAACACTTGTTTTTTTACATTTTTTTGCTGTTCAAATCAAAATGCGATTTTATAAGCAGGCAGAATGAATTAATCAATCAATCAATCAATCAATCAATCAATCAATCAATCAATCAATCAATCAATCAATCAAACATACAATCAATCAATCAATCAATCAAATAAATGCTAAAAACATGTATGCACAATATGTAAACTGATTATGTAAAAAATGATACACAGTGTTAAAGCGGCATATCTTCAGATTCATGACAACTTTTAAAAAAATATAAACACATATTGTCAGGGAACAAACAAAATGATTCAGGCTAGGATTCAGGCTAGGATTCAGGCTAGCACACGACAAAATCCATTCAAATTGTCGTGTCATACTATAGCAAAGTTGAGCAATAAGAGAAGATTTTTTTCTGTCTTGTTCTACCGGGTAAATGCGTTGGTTTTCTTTTGCCACACAATTGGTCGGGGAGGGAGGAGGGGATGTAGTTTACCCTTTTACTGTCCGTCGGACGGGCCTTGTCAGAGGTTTGAAAATCGAAAAACCAAAGCCACTGCTGGGTGTGGGCCATAGTTACAAGTAACGAGTAAATCTAATGCAAAATGTTTAATGGTCTATAAATATATGAACAGTTTTTATAATTTGAGTTTACTTGGTGTACCTTTTATTCATTAAATAAGTATGTGGAAAAAAGCGAGATACTGCCGCCAAAATGAAAATGTCATTTTTTAATTGCCTGAATTCAAGAGGAGTATATCACATACAATTTTGTCTGAATCCTTATTGATCTTAACATACAAGTAAATCATTCTTATGTTAGTTAACTACAATTTTTATTTCCTTTATGTACTATATAATCATTTTTATAAAACAATTCGATTGAAGAAAGTTACAAATCAATATATCAACTGACAAACTATGAAGATTAATCAAGACATTTAAGGCAAACACATCAACATTAATGTGATTTCTTATTATTTGCTGTTTGAATGTTGACATGTTTATCATAAAAACAATATATTCTATATAAGTTTAGATCATATATTAAAAAATATGAAACTGAGTGTCTGATTTTTGGCGGGAAAACTTCATCGGTAAGAAATATAAAACCCATAACATGTGCATGCCGCCCAACCCTTTCTATTCTTTTCTGGCACTTTGAACAATCAAGCTTTCGTGTATTTGAATCCAAAGTAACAATTATATGAAAATGTGCATTGATATAAAACCATTACAGCTTATGTCTCGTACCGCTGACGTCAATATGTTTTTCCTGCAATTTCAATGGGATCTAGCAAAATCCGCAATTACAATGTCTCCTTGTAAATACAAACAATGATTCAGTGGTAATGAATTCGACGTTAATTGCCGTCTACAGTAGTAAATGAATCAATTATGGCAAAGTTCAGCTTTTCAGACTGTTGTAAAATCTAAACCAATCAATTTAGAAGTTTTACAACATCTAACCAGAGGCTTTTAGATCTATTCTTATTACAGTTTTTAGAATTAAATAACGGCAATGAATAGGAACCGGTTTTAAAACCACTCTCAATATAGCAAGTTTTTCGTCCTAAATTTTATATAAAAAAAAAAAGATTTCTATGCTTATTTGAAACTGCCTGAAAGAATTAAGAAACCATGTCTATATGCCAAACAACACATAATTACATGTATTCTTTTTTACAAAAAATAAGAATTTAACATTATTTAGTTGAAAAAAAAAATGGTTTGTATGTTCGATTTGTCATATGCTTTCGAAATAAAAGGAAATAGTATTTAAAACAAATATTTCATAGTGTAAATGTTTCGTGACTGCATTTTTTTATTTATCAAGTTGAGAGTGTCCGGAAATATAAACATACAAATATTTAATTATTTTATCATATTTGCTGATAGCATGTTACGAACAAAACAACAGAGCCACCGGAAAAAACCTTATGGTTGATTTTGACATCTCACGAATTTGACAAAGTAGATCGACTCTGGCGAGTACGGAGTCAAGCGATGGCGCTTCAGGTATCCATAACAACAAGGGTGATGCGCACGGGTTCAAGCCTATTTTTCAGACTGTCACACATTTGGCTTTGATATTCAATAGTCTTTTACCATCAAGTTCTTTTTGCTGTTTTTCACAATAGATTCTTGTTGGTTTTTCTGACTCTTGTGGAAGATTATTACTACACTTTTTGGTGATATTTTTTTCGTCAATATATAAGATAGTGGTCTTCTTTCAGGGGAAGTTAGATTTTAGAAGTATATATATCTTTTGACTTACGTAATTCAATAATATATTTTGGTCATGGTTTGGTTCTTTGAATATTAATTATAGCTAAAGTCAATTTATTGTATGTAATTAGATAATAATAAATTATTACAAAACATGTGCTATTTTTATTTTAACTCGACAGAATAAAAACTTGAATATTTCGTTATCGCATTTTGCCTTGCTATCATGCCAATGCATAGTATCAACGCTTTGGGTGCCATTGGCAGTAAACCCAAGTAAACAACCTGACATGAGTGCATGTTCCAGTCTGACCAGGCTCTCAACTGTTGGCCGCTTAGTTTGGGCTTTCGATATTGAAATCCCTTGAATTAATAATGGACGGCTTCAATTCAAAGAAAGGCAAATCCATTATTCAAACAATTGTTGCAAGGGTTAATGTTTATAGTCACTTTACATTAATGAGGGCAACTTTTCTTATGAAAAATGAGCATATGTTACTTAAAGGCATATTATGTCTTCGTTCTTAAAACTAAAATGCTTTTGAGAAATAAAAATAAAACCATTTCTAGAGCATTATGTGCCTATAAAGATATCATTTTGACATATTAAAAGCAGGGGATGAATTTGCAATTTAATGTTAAACCTATGAACTTTGTCGCGTAAACTAAAGTAAAGGTAAATAAACACTAAAACCAAACGTTTTTGGTTTATCTTTTTTCTATTTTACAATGCACGCACTTTACATATAAATATTTTATTGTTTTACGTGTCATGTATAATTCACAATGTATTTCCCCATGTAAGTTTGCAGTGCTTACTCTCTGTCTATCTTAAAAAACCAGTTCATTGACTAACATATTTACTAGTTATATGTTATATTTACGTACAAATCTATGTTTCAAACTAGCTTTTATGGTATAAGGTTTTTTTTATCAATTTAGTTCAATTTTATTCACCATAATTGATTATATTTATAATAATATGTACAAAATACCATTTCATGAATAGAATATCCTACAAGCTTGGAACTTACATTTAAGTAATAACGTGGCGTCAACGTGACGTCAATTATATATTTCAGATCTGCTGAATTACTACAGATATAGAGATCAAATAATTAACTTTTGATGGTAAAAACTGTTCATTTTATTCCCTTATTATTAATTTTATATATCAAATAAAAATATTTTTGAAAACGATTTTTCAGAATTTAGAGGATTTAGTTTCCACAGTAACCCTCGCGGTGGAAAGACTTAAGTCACGTGGTCATTGCACTCCAGCGGATTATGAAAACGTAACAAAAAGTTTACGTTACCAGCTTGTTGCTATGGCAATGGGCTACATGTGCCAACAATCCACGCCAAGAATTGAGGTCAAGGTAAGGTTTATTGCCTTTATACCCGCTTAGATTTTTATAATATTTTTCTTTATATAAGTTTTTTATAAAAGCACTGATGTTTAAAGTCATATATAATCAGTTGGGAGTACAGTTGTTTAACAATACACACGTCTAAAACATTATTATTTACTTTGAGTATTGCTTATAAGAATATATGATTTTAAAATCGTTATAATATATCGTTATATGTATCAAGAATGCTTTCCCATAGACCAAAACCATCTTAAAATGAACGTTTAGCCACATATATTTCAAACCTAAAACATCAATAAAGAAACGATACAATACGTGGAAAAGAAGAACCGTATTTCGCAAAGTTTCTTCATTTGGTACTTAGCCCAATTCTTGAAACTGGTACTGTGCAACTGGTAATGTAGACAAGCCAACGGTCATGTTCCTTCAGCTACAAAGTGTTGCAAAGTCAAATCTGGAAAGTTTAGTGTACAAAATTAACATGGAAAAGGGAGCAAATGATGCAAATATACAATAAATGCTAAAGCTGCAATTTTTTTCACAATGTAAAATCTAAAACAACTGCTGTTCGGCATAGTAATCTAAGAATTGCTGACCGCGTAGGTTCAAACCCTGTAAGGTGCAAGTTGTTGTTACCGTGAGCCAGAAACTTTACATTTATTGCATAGTACTGGTGGGTTCCAGTAACGGATTATAGAGAGCTTAAATAAGCTTTTAGCTTTCAACACAGTCGAACTGAAATAAATGTGTATAAACTAAAAGAACTGCATTTGAAATAGCTTATCATTATTTTGCAAAACAGTTGGATACGTTGCGTTAAGAATCAGCACAAACAACATCACAGGCACTAACACACATTATAGAACGCGCAACAGAACGTGCAATAGACACAGAATCACACATTATAGCACGCGCAACAGAACGGGCAATAGATAAAGAATCACACATTATAGCACGCGCAACAGAACGGGCAATAGATAAAGAATCACACATTATAGCACGCGCAACAGAACGTGCAATAGACAAAGAATCACACATTATAGCACGCGCAACAGAACGGGCAATAGATAAAGAATCACACATTATAGCACGCGCAACAGAACGGGCAATAGATAAAGAATCACACATTATAGCACGCGCAACAGAACGGGCAATAGATAAAGAATCACACATTATAGCACGCGCAACAGAACGGACAATAGATAAAGAATCACACATTATAGCACGCGCAACAGAACGGGCAATAGATAAAGAATTACACATTATAGCACGCGCAACAGAACGGGCAATAGATAAAGAATCACACATTATAGATAAAGAATCACACATTATAGCACGCGCAACAGAACGTGCAATAGACAAAGAATCACACATTATAGCACGCGCAACAAAACGTGCAATAGACAAAGAATCACACATTATAGCACGCGCAACAGAACGGGCAATAGATAAAGAATCACACATTTCAGCACGCACAACAGAACGTGCAATAGACAAAGAATCACACATTATAGCACGCGCAATAGAACGTGCAATAAACACAAAATCACATGTAATAGCACGCGCAACAGAACACGCAAAAGACACAAAATCACACATTATAGCATGCGCAACACAACGTGCAATAGACACAGAAGCACACACAACTATTAACGAATCAACACACACACTTTAGCATGCTTAACAGAACGCACAACACACACAGTATCATCACAAAACTATACAAGAATTAGCACATACGACAGAACACGCAACAAGTCACGCAGCAACAACAACAACAACAGCTGCAACAACAACAACAACAACAACAACAACACACCAACTTTCACCGCACAAAATAGGAATCAACGATTTAGAAACAGAACAGAAATAAATTTCATTTGAGCCGCGTCATGACAAGACCAACATAGTGCGTTTGCGACCAGCATGGATCCAGACCAGCCTGCGCATCCGCGCAGTCTGATCAAGATCTATGCTGTTCGCTTTCTGTTTCTCTACTTGTTATAGGGTTTGTAAGCGAACAGCATGGATACTGATCAGACTGCACGGATGCGCAGGCTGGTCTGGATCCATGCTGGTCGCAAACGCATTATGTTGGTTTTGTCGTGACGCGGCTCATTTAGACTCATCTACAAAAAATTATATTTACATATATAACAGCTACATGAAAAGTAAACAAACAACGTAGATCTTCTGGTACACGAAATGGTCGAGAAAGTTGAGAATGCGGTCTCCATTATGTTATTGATCAACAGTGACATCTATTAAACAAGAAATAAGGTTAATATATCTAAATAATATGTAAATCAATAAAAAAGTTATGGTACCGTACTTCCGGTGTATGTAATTGATATCATCTTTCTAATTATACGTATTAGTTACCATTAACGTATAAAAGGTCGAACACTATTTGTTCTGTCATTTCATTATAACAAATGTTTCTGTCTTTCTGATATAGTCTTTATTTTGACACGAACAATGCTAAAAGTGGAAAAAAATAATAATAAAAATAACAAGGCGAAATAAATGTCATTACTTAATTGTCAGTTACTCACTTCCTTTCTTGAACTTGCGGGTCACTCACCTTTATGACGGTTAGTAAATACGGGTGATTCGGAGATCGGTGGTTCTATCCTAGTATTCATGTACCCCGCTCGGGCATTAATTAATTGTACGGCGGAATATTTATCTAAAGCTTTCCTCCGCCAGTAAAGCGACTGAATCCCAATATGACCTTTCACACTGTTTCTGTGACCATTCTGTGACCATAGACCAAATACAAGATTATTTTTTCATGTTGCTAAACATAACTAAAGAAACACTTTTGTTTTCTGTTGTTTTTGTTTTTCGTAATTGGAAACAATTTTCTCTAATTCCCCAGGCACGTTTCACACGAATGATGTATATATTTTCTTCTGAATTTGATCTCTATCTCCCTCTCTCTGAAAACAACTGAATATTTATGTCCAAGATAATTCTGTAAAATCGTACTATGGCCTTTTATTTATGTCTAGTGTTACCTTGGTAAACAATCTATTTGTAGATATTATTTATTACTCTTTGCATAAAAACATTGGTTCATTTAGGCGCAACCCTGACATTGTTGCACTGATAAACATATTTCTCTAAAATCAATATCAAAACATATTCTGAGAAGAAAGGTGAAAACAACAACAACGGTAACGATGATGACAAAAACAACAACCCACAAAAATAAATAAATAAATAAATAATAAGAAAAAGAAATTTAAAATAAAGAATAGATAAATAAATCAATCACTAAATAAATCACTAAATAAATAAATAAAATAAATAAATAAATAAATAAATAAATAAATAAATAAATAAATAAATAAATAAATAAATAAATAAATAAATAAATGAAATAACAGCAATTAGTTTTAAACACTGACTGAACAAATTTAATGTTATCTAAACAGAACAAAATTGATTTGATTATATACACATATCAACCATAAATATGTCTCATTTTTTGATTAGGTACATATACTAGTACATTACTGTTCTCTTTCGTATTTCACTAGGGAAGACTTTAGTTCAGTATCAAAATGGCACTATCATTTTAAACCTATATCGAGGTAGGCCTATCATTATGAATATATAGAAATTTCTTAGTGCTTGAACATTTGAAATCGACTTAATTTCGAGTAGGCGGGGGTGAGGGTGGGGTGGGGTTTTCTGAAATTTATGCAACAACAACAACAACAACAACAACAACAACAACAACAACAATTATAATAATAATAACAATAATAATAACAAGAAGAGAAGAAGAAGAAGAACAACAACAACAACAACAATACATTTTAGAGGGTTTTATTATGAATGAATAAGAATGCTTCTTAAATATTCTTCTATAGAAATTTGTTAGTGCTGGAACATTTGAGATCCTGATCAATCGTGAGTAGTGATCTATGTTCAGTTGTCTTTTAAAGTGCTGGAACCGAAAGAGTTAAGCCTTTGCCACCAGTATAGAGCCAGGCCAGCCGTGCAGTCTGACCAGGCTCTATACTGTTGACTGACAAACTTTAAATATTCAAATTGATATCCCTAAAATTGATAATGGACAGTCCAAAACTGGAAGTGCGACAAGTCCATTTAAAATATTCAGCATGTTAAAGGTTAATGTAGATCGGGCTATATTGAAGTATAAGTCAAGATAGCTGACTCATGTAACTGAGTTCAACTAGTCTTGCTGTAACACGTGCTTAAGTTTTATCAATGTCTTCAAGTATTTTGACTGTTGGATATCTAAAGTAGTATGTATATTTCCATATTTAGTCTATTTTATGATAGATTATTCTACATATCTACAGAAATTATCAGACAAGGCGGTAAAATAAGTACATCTTAAAAGTTTGGATGAGTGTCAAAAACATCGGTAAATCGGTAAAATAATGAAATATTTTATCGAATAGTTAAGAAAAACAATGATTGTATAACTTAGACAATATAAATAAGGAAAAAAACAACAGTATCATATTTACTCCATTTGATACATTTATGATATTTAAAGATACGAGAAATAACAATTAAAACAAAGCGAAAGTTGAAAGATATATCAGTGGTAAAACTAAAAAGAAATAAATAGAATACTTTATTGTAATAATGATAATGACGATAATAATAATAATAATAATAATAATAATAATAATAATAATAATAATAATAATAATGATAATGATGATGATGATGATGATGATGATGATGATGATGATGATGATGATGATAAAAGTAAAAAAGAGTCTGTGCTTACTAGTATTTGATAAATACGAAACCACAAAGTTGTCAATATGTTGATAAGGAAAACGAAATCGATGGAAGTTAATTTGATATGGGTATGTTATTTTGATACACATATCACTTACAAGATAAACTGTTACAGCGGCTGATTCGTGGGCTTATTGGTTGTTATACAAACAAATTACTGAAATAATAATGAATAAAACTTCAATGAAATACTAGTCAACTTAGACATTATGCCAGATATTTCCGCCATGCCACACAGCAAGGGGTATTGGATTGAGCTAAATACAGGGTGAATTGAACAAAAGGGAAAAAATGAATTTGGGAAAGTGATGTGTGTCGTTTATATTGCCTGTAATTTTTTAAAAAGTCACTTCAAATTATAACGAAAATGAAGTGGAGTTTAATAAAAACAAGCTGGTCCTATCAAAGGGAAGGACAGATCAATTTAACTTCACGGATATTTAATTCACAGTGAAATTAACGAAGTTTAGTGTCACTGGAACTAAATTTTGCGGATTATTCAATTCGTGGTCAATGGTTAAATGGAATTTAAACGCTGTTGAAATTTGATTAAAGAAATTGATGCCAATACGGAATCAATGAAAATTACGATACTCCCCAATGAAGAAGAGTGAGTTAACAGCAATAGTTGATATATAAAACGTGAGATTTAAAGCTTACTTACAATTTACTGACACACGGTATGCAGTTAATCATTGTTTTGAGAACATAGATACGTTTTGATTTTTCTTTTCAACCCAGGTGGTCTGCGTGCCAACAAGATTAACAAGTTCATTCCTCAGACTAAATGTTTGCATCTGTGCTTCCCTGTCCGGTCACAATTATTTTCTATCGTTAAAACAATACTTGAAATGGACTTGCGATAATCCGTATTTGTTTAAATTATCGATGTGCCCCAGAAGTAGCGGAATTATCAAAGGTTTTTATCTGTATAGGTACTTGTGAATCAATGGATACCTAACTGAGAAGCCATTAATAAAGCATGGACTTCTCGAGCATTTAGTGAATAACAATAGGCACTATGAGAATAAGTTTGATCCTCTTCTTATATATTTTTAATCCTCGGAGACAGAGTATATTAATAAATTAATAAACTAGTAGTTTATTTTCACATGAGATATGGTGTTATACTGTGAAGTAAATAAGACCTCTGACAATACATGATTAAGTGATTTTCTTTTGAAATTTAATAATTTAAACAAAAAGGCATCAGCTACAATGGAGTAAGGATATCATATTGTATACTTCCAGGGTGAACAGACAAATTTATTCTCGGAGGATGAATGGAAAGTGCAGATTCGATTACGTTCAGAAGATGAAGAGGTATGTTGCATTCTTTAAAGGAACTCCACTGAGGTCCAAAAGCCTAAAATATAAAATTTAAATTTCTTTGCTTCGTCAGGGTCTTTCAAAAAGAATGTTTAAAAACCATGGATTCCTAAATCAACCGAGGTACTAATTTAAAATCAGAAAGATATGCGAAAGATACGTAAGAACTATACACAGAATAAATTGAAAATTGTACTTTTTGTGCTATTTTAGCAGGATTGAGTGAAAACCGTTGCAACGCTTTTTCAATTTTGGTTCATTTTTCACAATCAAAATAATCATTCTGGAAAAACGGAGTGAACGATTGATATTATATTCTGAACACAAGCTATTGGTCTAGACCTACAAATGGAAATTTTTAATCTCGAAAAATTATTTCCAGTTCTGTCATGTCAAAAATCTCAGTGGTGTCCCTTTAATTGATACCATCGTATGTAGCCATTTACTATTTTATTGTTTTTATTGTTCACTTTGATGATATGAGATCAAGTAATACTATAATAAAGTTTTATCAGTTTTTAAACACATAAAGAATGATGATAAGTTGACATTCTTAAGTTTATAATAATATAAAAAATATTATACAGATATATATTAATCAAATATTAATATTGTTGGCAAAGATTGTATTTGGTTATTTTGCGAGATGTATACCTTTACAGAAAAGCATAGACTCATCAAGTATAATTTTTAAGTTATTAACATTATTTCAATTAAATATATTTTTGTACTTTTTTCTAGACGAATGCATTAACTATTTTCATTATAGATCTAATTAAAAAAGATATCCTAAAAAGTCTAATCTTTTTAGCTGCAACTAACCATCATTTCTTTGAAAGAAAGTCGAGCCCAGATTAAACATACAAAAATCATCTATATTTTCCATTGCTATCTGCTGATAACATGCATGTATCACGTTCAAAATGGATGGGGAAAAAAACCTCACATCTTTTTCTCAGTCTATGCGATGTTTAGAAAAAAAACATGATCATTATTTTTGTTATAAATAAATAATGTTTTCATCTGATTTAGCATCTGTCTGGCGATTTTAATCCTTAACTGATATTATACAGATATATACGGAAGCTTATCAGGGCCTCCACTTATCTAAAAGTGTTATGTCATGTCAACTTGTTTCTTCTCGTTTTGACCAAAAACATTCCATGAAGACGTTATGATTAATACGTTATACATAAAACATTCCATGAATAGTTTATGATTAATACGTAATACGTAGAAGTTTTTAATCATTGCAAAAAACTTTGTTGAATTAAGTGAGCTATTTGTCAATGCGAGTAACGTCTTTGCGTCTTACTTAATATTTCAGCAAAGTCGTGAAATCAAGAAGTTTCGACAGGATTTTTATCGAAGAGACAAAAACTTCAAGCATATCGAGAAAAATTCAGTTGCAATGCCTAAAAGCTTCTCATCTTTGTCAGTAAATTTTATTGAGAAATGCAAAAACATCTTATCAATGCGAATAAAAATAAGTCGACTTAGCGCAAAACATCTCACCAACTGTAGGCCCTGATACGGCGCCTTAGATATATAAACAAATAATAATAATGTAAATAACTTAAAAATTATACTTGATGAGTCTATGCTTTTCTGTAAAGGTATAAATGTCGCAAAATAACCAAATACAATATTTACCGACAATATTAATATTTGTTTATATTAAAACAATAAAATAAAAACCAATGCTACCAGTGCAGACCAAGATCAGCCGGTACATCTATGGTATCATGGTCTGCATTGTACGTATTTGAATTTTTTTTATAAAATGATGAACGGTTTTGTCCAGATTGAAAGATGGACGAATCAATAAAATATTACCAGTGTGATAAGGGGTTAGAAGTTTTATGGCACTCGCTCTATTTGTTTTACAGATAATAGAATCATCTGAAAGAGTTCTTGCACAGAGGCTAGCTACAAAAGGTAGAGCTTTAAGAAGAGAAGATATTTCAGTGCTCTTAGCCGAACACTTAAAGACAATAGAAAATCTGCAGAGAGTCAAAGAAGCGGGAAAACTGCGAGAATCATTTGAAAGTCCAAGGTTTAGTCAAAGTTCTTCGCGCGAAACTGTACCAGAAGGTCGTCCGTTACTTCCAAGGAGACCAGTCAGTGCGCGTAAATTACGAAAACTTAATAGTGGTAACAGTGAATCGTCTAAAGATTCAGAAACAATTTCTGAACTTCCACCGATCGGAAAATCTAAGGGAGGCAACTCTAAACACTTTAATGCAAGAAATAAAACTAAAGCAATCCCGGTAACTAAGTTGAACAATACTGAAAATGCTATAGGAGTTGTTACCCCTGAATCGTCACCGGACACTAATACTAGAAAATCACATAATGAATCTGGAATAGATTCTGAAACGGAAGAACCAGAAGTGAATAGCATTGAAGTAAGTTAATATGCTTTTATTGATCATGAATAATTAGTACAATTTTCAAGTTCACAACCTTCGTAGTTAATTGGCAAAGTATTGAATACCATTTGCTGACATGTAAAATTAAATACATTAATATAAAACGCGGCCTGTTTATGATATATTATATTTTATTTGTCGGGCAAAAACATGTAAATATTTCAGATAAATTTTATCAACAACTTCTTCAAAAACATTTTCACAATATCTATCAAACACGCCATTTCAGGGACATAAAATTCCTTTAATATATAGAATGCAATAAACGTCAGTGTTTTCTTTGGTAAAGCTCACGCCATTTTAACTAATGAGATTTTAATTTGTATTGTTTTCTTAGATTTTTATTAGCAGAAAATGTATGTTCATGTTCATGTATCTCTATCATAAATCAAGAAGGTATATATAATTCATAAATAGTCTATATTACTTTCAACCGCAAACAGTTTATAATTTTTATACATATTTTTTACCTATTTATCGTCATTTTAACCGATATTTCATAACTAATGGTATTATATACACGGCCTTGATTTTAATACCGAACTGAAAATTGAACTCGTATATTCTATTAATAGTAAAATAATAGCAAAACGCTAATAGTTTAATTTTTTACATTAGAACGTTTTGCTTTCATGGTATAATCTCTATATATATTCTTTCGCAGGATTGTTAACTGCGAAATGAACTTGTTTATAAAAACAGTATAAGAAAATCTGCAAAAACAAACAAAACCGAAATACCCCAACAAAATAAAAAACAACAACAACCAAACCCCAAACCGATCATACTGGTATTTTAGTCACAAATCTATCATATTGTATTCTGCAAAATTACGATAAACTATTTCAGAGAGACTGAAAGTGCTATATATACTTATATTCAAATAAGTGAAGCAAAGTCGCTATACACTTTTATCTCATTAGTTATACTCATAATTACATCTCATAACATATTTAGAGTCAGTCTGTCAAAATAAAGTCGTAGTTTTACCTTATGTGCAAGCATTTTTATCACGGTCATAATAAACAGAGTAATATCACATATCAGCTTGGTCAAAACAATTCGTAATTTCTCACGATAAGAAAATTTATGACAGCAAATATTAGAGCTGATTACACCACATATTTCAATAACAATGCCATTTTGTTTAGTTCTTAGCGCATACAACATTCACATACTTAGAAATACTGCGCTTTTGATGGAATGGCACGTCACACTGAAAGTTCTTTTATCATTTGGGGTTATTGATTGCAATACTAAAAGATTTGTAGATTAAATTGTAATAATTCAGAAGTAGGGTGCATGCAATATCTTGCACATTTCATCACCTCTCATAAAGTCGGTATTAGGGTGTCCCGAAAATTTTCACATTTCAATACCTCTCATAAGTCGGGTCTAGTGAGCATGTAAGATAATGCACATTTCAGTATTTCTCATAATTCGGTGCTAGGGAGCATGCACATTTCAATACCTCTCATAAGTCGGTGCTAGGGGGCATGGCAGATGTTGCATATTTCAATAATTCCCACGAGTCAGGTCTAGGGAGCATAGAAGATGTTTCACATTTCAATACCACTCATAAGTCGGTGCTCGGGAGCACATTTTAATACCTGTCAAAAGTTGGTGTTAGGTAGTATTGAAAATATTTCACATTATTTCAATACCTCTCATGAGCAGGTTCTATCAAAGTCACTGGCAGCAAGTCTGCACTTTTCACCAGTTTACTTTTGCAATCATTGCTCCCGAGGGATCTCCTTTTTGTATAAAATTGTTGTACCGAATATAATGATATTTATTTTTCTTTCTGATATTTATTTAGGAAGAAGATATTCTACTATTTGCCGAGCTGATTGAAGCGTTCCGTCTGTTGTGGGACACACTCACAGGGACATTTGTATGTGACCTACTAAGAGAATATAGAAAGAGGGAGGCTATCCTTATACAAACAGTTATAGAACATGCCCATAAACAATCTACAATCACACAGGTATGAAAATTCTTCTTTAAACATTCTTATTTTCTCAAATGGTCTCAGGTGGGGAAGCATGGGAAACTTAAAGAACCAAAGCATCTCAGTCGCCCTGACTTTTTATTGTTGCATTTATTTTTTCAGACAGAAAGAAACATTAATTCTCATATTCATAAATGATTGACACAAATTGAACATGAATGTCCCTTCACATACCGAAGTTTAAAATCATATTTTAATTATAATAATTCACAATTTTCGCTGCATCGCGTCTTACATAAAAATATAAAGCTAATGTTTTGTAAAATGTCACTTAAAAATATACAATGCATCTAATAGTCAATGGACCTAAAATATTATCTCAGTAAATAACTAATAAATATATTTAAGTGATATTTTTGAAGCATTGATATACATGTATATGGAAGTTAAAACGATTGAAATATATTTATACATATTGTAGATGAAATAAAATCAAGAGAAATCATGTCTAAGCATTTATGTTAAGTGGTAGAAAATTATAAAGCGTAAAGTCATATTGTAGCTTTTTTTCTTATCTATTAATTAATTCTAATTAGCGAAATACAAGTAAATATTTTATTGACTTCTCATGGAACACGTTCTTTTAATCAGCAAAGATCCAACTATCGTCTGCAGTTTGGTATCTTGGATTTCATTAACTTTTCATTCAAATCTGTCATTTCTTTAAACATAAATCTGAAAATATTAAGTCCCAACTAGTTATAACCTATATGTATTACAATGCTACAGTGAACTTGTCCTAATTTTGTTTTAAAAAGATTATTGTTAAATTTACTAATTAAGCGTAAAAATCAGGATATCAGGTATCGATTTATTGCTATTTATAGGACATTATATAAGTTAATGGCTATTGATAGCTTAAATGATTGACTTTTGTGAATGAATAACTGCAAACCTTTTTATTTCTTCGTTTTTTCTTTTAAAAAGAAAAGTATTTTGATACATATCTTTGTTACCGTATCTAATTATTTCCAGTGTTGAACGCGGCATTTCTTATGCATTGTTCGTTTTTTTCTGATTGTACTCTTATGTGACTATTCAAAAAAAATGTGTAGCCGTCTTAAAAATAAGAAATATAAGTAAGAAGAAATATAATTAGAGATGAAATATTTTAGATACATGTTACGTACATAATGTTTTCAAAGAATTCCATGTAGTTTTGATTGTATATTAACATTTAAGCAGAAAAGTTATTTAGAAATATAAATGTAAGTTCATGTTTGTATGACGTAGAAATATATATATGATGAAAAATTGTAACAATGTTTCTTGTTTCCATGCGCTTTGTGTCGGATATTTTTTCTTTCTCGCGCATGCGTAGTCTACGTAGGACAAATGGCCACTGGCCAACTAGCCATTTGCATGAATTTAATGTATTGTAAAGCAGATGTACCTAAACAGAATCTTCATACACATATCTTATTGGCTAAAAAGTTTTAATACAACAAAAACAAGAGACAAAATGCTATACCAATAAGTAATGATAGTTACTTTTTGAACAACATGTTCATCATGTGCTTCAAAATACAGTCTGTTGTATTTTGCCAATTTATAGTGAAAAAAGTTTTAGAGTATATAAACCTAAACGTTTAAAAGATGCAACAAATAGTTATATACAATGACAATTACATTTCAAACTATCATTTTAAGCTCATATTTATATTCTTCTATATGCTAGTCTGTTTATTCCTTAAAGGGAACTGAAATGTGATCATTATAGGGCCAGGCCAGTCAGCGCATCTTTGTTGTGCGGTCAGCTTTTATTATACCGTTGGTGGTAGCTCATTTGGCATTGAGATTACTGTTGCATTAATAACAGTAACACAATTAAAGCAAGGCAAATCCATTGTACAAAGTTAACAGGTTAAGGGTGAAATATCTGACATCATATTCTATTATACACAAGAAAGTTTCATTTATAAGTCCACTAAGCATACAATAGCACAGACCTTGACAGTTTTGATTAAAATCTAACATAATTAATTTTTATTAATATAAATTCTTGAGGTCAAATACAGTATTTATTTATAACTAATATTATGTTTGCTAAGTTTATACAATTAATCTATTATTGACTAGTCGTCGTTTCTTTCTATTGACATAGCGGACAGTAGATTAGGCCGAAAGGTTCAACAAATTCGGTGACACACAAACGCCTTGTCAGTTATTTCCATGATGTCAATTATGTCCATGATGTATGTGAGAAGTTAGCAGTTAACAGTGAGCTAAGCAAAAAGGCATTACGATTTATATAGGGAAATCAATGATCTGCTGTTATGCTCAGCTGGGTAAGCAATCTCGCAGAGCATTCCAAAATAAAGTGTTGAAATGCTTTGCTGGTATGCTCAGCTGGGTAAGCAATCTAGCAGGCCATTACTAAATATAGTGTAAAAATGCTCTGCTGGTATGCTCAGCTGGCTAGGCAATCTAGCGGGGCGTTCCAAAATATAGCGTAAAAATGCTCTGCTGGTATGCTCAGCTGGCTAGGCAATCTAGCAGGGCATTCCTAAATATAGTGTAAAAAATACTCTGCTGTTATACTCAGCTGGCTAAGCAATCTAGCGGGGCATTCCAAAATATAGTGTAAAAAGCTCTGCTGTTATGCTCAGCTGGCTAAGCAATCTAGCGGGGCATTCCAAAATATAGTGTAAAAATGCTCTGCTGTTATGCTCAGCTGGCTAAGCAATCTAGCGGGGCATTCCAAAATATAGTGTAAAAATGCTCTGCTGTTATGCTCAGCAGGCTAAGCAATCTATCGGGACATTCCAAAATATAGTGTAAAAATGCTCTGCTGTTATGCTCAGCTTGGTAAGCAATCTAGCGGGGCGAAGTATAAATTTCGTTGGTCTGCAACTGATTATTTGGCACTCGTAGACTTTCTGAAATATTTAGTGCCAATGCAGATAATGACAATTTTTGACTTTTAGGGGACCCTCAAGATTAGTGTCTATTTCTTTGGTCTCCGACTGATTCTGGGACGATCGCAGACTTTCAGGAATTTTTGGTGATAATGCGGATAATGACATTTGTGAATTTTTAGGACCATCCAGAGTCCATTTCGTTGGTCTGCGAATGTTTCTGGAACACTCGCAGACTTTCAGAAATTTTCGGTGCCAATGGAGATAATGACATTTTTACTTCAAAAGGACCCTCCTGAGTCTATTTCGTTGGTCTGCGACTGATTCTGAGTCACTCGCAGACTTTCAGGAATTTTGGTGTCAATGCAGAAAATGATATTTCTGACTTATTGGGACCTTTCTGAATCCATTTTTTTGGTCTGCGACTGATTCTGAGGCACTCACAGACTTTCAGGAATTTTTGATGTCAAGGCAGATCATGACATTTTTTACTTCTAGGGACCATCCAGGATCCATTCTTTTGGTCTGCGACTTAATCTTGGACATGGCTCCATTACCTCCATTGGCACCACAGATTCCTGAAAGTCTGCGAATGTCCCAAAATCAGTCGCAGACCATAAAAATGGACTCTGGCGGGTCCCTAGAAGTAAAAATTGCCATCATCTCTATTGGCACCAAACTTTCCTGAAAGTCTGCGAGTGTCCAACAATACGCTGCAGGCCAATGAAATGGACTCTTAAAGGTCCCTAGAAGTCAAAAATATGATTATTTCCATTGGCACCAACCATTCCTGAAAGTCTGCGAGTGTCCAAGAATCAGTCGCAGACGACCAAAATGGACTCTTGAGGGTCCCTAGAAGTCTTAATTGTCAATATCAGCATTGGCACCAAAATTCCTGAAAGTCTGCGAGTGTCCTTCAAAAAGTCGCAGGACAATGAAATAGTCTCTTAAAGGTCCTTAGAAGTCAAAAATATCATTATTTCTATTGGCACCGAAAATTCCTGAAAGTCTGCGAGTGCCTCAGAATTGCCTAGAAGTCGAAAATGTCAATAAAACTTTGGCAACAATAAATCCTGGAACTCAGAATCAGTCTGCCAACTGAGCATTCCACCAGAGCATTTTTTCACTATATTAAGGAATGCTCTGCTATAGTGCCTAGCCAGCTGAGCATTCCAGCAGAGCATTTTTACACTATATCTAGTAATGCTCTGCTAGATTGCCTAGCCAGCTGAGCATTCCACCAGAGCATTTTTTCACTATATTAAGGAATGCTCTGCTATAGTGCCTAGCCAGCTGAGCATTCCTGCAGAGCATTTTAACACTTTATTTAGTAATGCCCTGCTAGATTGCCTAGCCAGCTTAGCATTCCAGCAGAGCATTTTTACACTATATTTCGTAATGCTCTGCTAGATTGCCTAGCAGCTTAGCATTTCACCAGAGCATTTTTACACTATATTTAGAAATGCCCTGCTAGATTGCCTAGTCAGTTTAGCATTCGAGCAGAGCATTTTTACACTATATTTAGTAATGCCCTGCTAGATTGCCCAGCCAGCTTAGCATTCAAGAAAAGCATTTGTTCACTATATTTAGTAATGCTCTGCTAGATTGCCTAGCCAGCTTAGCATTCCAGCAGAGCATTTTACACTGTATTTAGTAATGTCCTGCTAGATTGCCTACCCAGCTTAGCATTCCAGCAGAGCATTTTTACACTATATTTAGTAATGCTCTGCTAGATTGCCTAGCCAGCTTAGCATTCCAGCAGAGCATTTTTACACTTTATTTAGTAATGTCCTGCTAGATAGCCTAGCCAGCGTAGCATTCCAGAATAGCATTTGTACACTATATTTAGTAATGTCCTGCTAGATTGCCTAGCCAGCTTAGCATTCCAGCAGAGCATTTTTACACTATATTTAGTATTGCCCTGCTAGATTGCCTAGCCAGCTTAGCGTTCCAGCAGAGCATTTTTTCACTAAAGGTAGGAATGCTCTGCTAGATTGCCAAGACAGCTGAGTATTGCAGCAGATCATTACCTTCCCTATATAAATTGAAATGCCTTTTTGCTTAGCTCACTGTTCACTGCTAACTTCTCATCCATCGCTGCTAAAATAAAACAAAAACAAAAAGTCGTGTTTCCGGCCACTTTTTTTGACCCAACAGCAAAGATTTGTTTCTGATCCCATCCGAAGATATTCATTGACCGTTGCTTTTGTCAAACTCTTTTGTGCATTCACAATATAAATGAGGGGTTATCGAAAATAAAAGAATGTCAATTTAAATTTTCGATCACAAATGGTTCGGGAAACGAACCTATTACAAATAACACCGACTATTAATCGTTATTAATTCCTGTGGGAATTTCGACTAAGAAAAACGAGAAAGAATATTATGATAGAGATTTATTATAATGGCCTCTAAGTGAGACATATTCCGTATTTACTAAAAACAAACACATTTTCTCTTTATTTAATCGTGTTCCATTTTAGCTAAAATGTCGCTCATTGACAAATTTATTCGACGTCTTGACATTTTTAGTCTGTCAACTTTAAATTTAATATTTCACACAGTCTCAGAA